CATTCTGATCTTTAAAAATTAAGGGTTATAGGCTAATGCTTGCAATTGGGTTTTAGGATAGGTTGAGGGATAGCGTTACGGTTAAGTATAGCACTTTGTCAAGGGTTGAAGCTATTAAAGCATTAAAGGATATCGACCGCGGCGCAAATTCAACATAAAAACTATGTTATCCGTTATCTTGATTGTCCTGATAAATCATGATATTACATTCAACGGGTGCACTTTAAACGAAAATAATAGATAACATTTATAGTACACAACATAAGAAAAATCATGTGTCCTATCAGGTTCTAGGACAATCACCCCCCGCCAACTACCAGCGGGACAAGTACCCCAAGAAAATAACACCCCGAGGACAATTACCACCCCCCCCCCCTCCGGGAGACAATTAACTTCCCCCCCCCCAAAAAAAAAAAAAACCAACTTATATCAGGGTGGACTTCCCCTTTAATGAACAAGGGGTAATTTTTGGGGGCCGGGGTGTATTCAATTTTTTCGGGGGATAATTGTCCATACTGTCCTTAGGGGTAGTTCTCCTGGGGGTAATTTCCCGGGGATGATTGTCCAGGGGATAATTGTCCTGATACACTTAAGTATGCCATTGTTTTCAACAAGTTCTTTCGATACCAGATACTAAATCATTAAAGCAGAAGATGTATCATCCTTGTAAATGATTATTGAGTGCTGTCATAATTATGACAATAATATTTTGATTGTTTCTTTGTTAAGAAATGGAAACTGAAAACAACTGCGATCAATTGAATTGAAATTTTACTGGCTAAGGAGCGCAATGTATTTGTATGTTTATGGCTAAAAAGCCATATTTCGAAATACGACAAGAAATAGCTAAACGTTTTTGACTAAAAGTTCATGCCGCATATACGTATAGTCCCATATACCTAGTTCTGTGTGCAGTACACGTAACTTCCATTCAAGATTATTCGATTTTGTATCAATGTTAGGATTTTTAAAAGCTCACATTATACACCGGTTGTACTACATAACCAACCTCTCAACAAAAATAAAATGTCCAGAATGTAATTGCGTGACCAGAATTAAACTTTCTCTTCAATGGAAGGAACTGAAAATATGAATTTTTAATCTAGGGTTATGTAAATATAATAATGTGAGTCTCGTCAAAACAAGGTTTGAAATAATTTAACCGAAAGCTTTTTTTTTCAATATTGCGTGTCAATAAAGTACTTGTATCAGGACTTGTACATGTATATGACATTGGGGCTTTGTTTCTGCATAAATGAATACGTCTTGTCAAACAAGGTTTTGAAATCATTGAACCAAAACCTTTTCAAACTTGCGCGTCAATAAAGTGCTTTTATAAGACATTATGGTATCGTTTCTGAATGGAAACTGAAAATGACTATTTTCATTTGAACAGAATGTTTACTGAAAGAGGGGCTACATCGAAAATCGTCTTATGGTTGTTTTTAATAAATAAATTCATGTTTATAGGAAAATCCTAACTAACAAATCATAATGAAATCCTTATAATAAATCTTAATTATTATCTTTTTTGTAATCACATGAAATGCTTTTAATTCAAACTAGATTTTTGTTTACCATGACAAATAGACATTCTTCTAGCTTTTTAAAATACTATAAGTAATAAAGTTTTTTTTTTAATCTGCTTTTATTAAAACCATCTTATTTTCAGGGTGACTTTCTCTTTAATGAACAGGGGGTAATGTTGTGGGGGGAGGGGAATTTTCCGGGGGTGGTTGTCCGCGAGGATGATTTTCCGTGGTTATTATCCAGGGAGTAATTGTCCTGATACTGTCCTTTCAATGTTGAGGATTTGTAATCATCCATCCTTCTATCATGTTTATCCTATACTTGGTGTTGGCACCCTCTAATCCTCAGTTTTTTGTCACTCGTGTCAGCTTTGAAAAGTGTAAGTCATCTGATGAGAGGAAGGAGGACACTATTTCCTTTTTTATATTGAGTTGATTATCGACATTTCACGTTAAATTATATTAACTTACACTTTAATTGGAGTATAAACGTTTTTTTAAGTCATTCTTAAGTCATTTAGTCTAAACAGTCTAAGTAACTAACATTTTCAGCTATATTATTCTTTAGAGTATAAAGCTAATTAGTCACGTACTTAAATAAGTTGTTCAATTTCGGGACGGGATTGAACTGTTGATTTGATTTTCTTTCAAACATATTGGCCCGTATTCACGAAGGAGGTTTGTCGACAAACCGAGGTTTATCTACGTCATATGACGCGTTTTGACGCGTTTTTTACAAACCTGGTTTGTAAATAACAAAAGGAGGTTTGTCGAAACAAAAGGAGGGTTGTCGACAAACCTCCTTTTGTGAATTCGGGCCATTGGCTCCGATTGCATTCTCCATGTCCATTGGACTTGAATAGCGCCACCTATAGCTACTCAGCGTCGCAGCCTCACAGCAGGGAATAGGGCAGCAAGAGATAGGTCACTCCTTGCTATATCGGGAACAGCATTGTCTATAGAACCTTGTCCACACTAATGACTTATCAGACATGTGACAAATCATCTAATGATACTTCTCTTAGTCTATCTCCGTAACTTACTCTCTGTGTCTGTCTTTCTTTCTCCCTCCCCTCTCTCCCTCAATCTCTCTCTCTCTCTCTCTCTCTCTCTCTCTCTCTCTCCCTCTCCCCCCCTCTCTCTCTCTCCCTCTCTCCCCTCCCTCTCTCTCTCTCTCCCTCTCCCCCCTCTCTCTCTCTCTCTCCCCCTCCCCCTCTCTCTCTCTCTCCCTCTCCCCTCTCTCTCTATCTCTCTCTCTTTCTCCCTGGATCTCTCTTAGCCTCAGTCTTTATCTCTCCCTTTCCGCTGCCTTTCCCCCTCCCCACTCACATGACTCATAAAACATTTCATCAAAAACACAAATAATTGAAAGGACATTTGATTATTAAAGATGTGGATTTTGTCCGTGACCCTGTTGAATATCATTATTACAAAAATACTATTCCGTAGCCTGCATTTTAGCAGTATCTAGGCTGGTGTCACATACTTATCTTACGTTATTCATCATTTTTAATTTCTATACCTGATGTTCGAAAAAGCTGACAAGCAGTTCACAAACAGGAGGTGTGACGGTCCATTCATGTCAGTAGTAGAACAGTGGTCTCGTAACCTAGAGGTCCTGGGTTCGTAACCAGTTCGATGCGCTGCTGCTCTGTGTAGTAAGACATTAATTTCCATTACTAAGTCCCTCAGAGAGGACTTAAATCCGTCGGTCCCCTGGTTGTTTACCAAGCATATATTACTTACCAGTCAGGTAAAACAAACAAATAAACCCCTTTCAAAGAGACGCAAGGTAATACACATTTTATATTTTCATATATTTCTATTCATTTTATTTGTGCAAAAATGGCCACATTATAATTCAATATGATGTTCTTTATTTCAAGTATTTCATTTTCTCTGATCGAACTATGAGGGAGATGGTATATTTTCAACAAGGCAACTATTAGTAGTGCGATTTCTCCACAATGTGCGCTTTTTCAACAAGAAAAAGAAGAATACAAAATGATTAGCAGTTATAGATGTCACATCATATATATATACACAGTCTGAGCTAAATATTTTAAAGAGGTTTTATCATTACTGCTCATTCTCGACAATAAATTACTCTGATATTCCAAATGCTGTATATTTATACAAGAGAGTGTAGCTGAAAGACAGTGGCATTTATAATGACGGGGCAGATTTTTTTTTTTTTTAATAATGCACTAAATTCAAACGTTACGGTCAGTCATAAACTTGCATAAGCATCTTCTCTAAGTAATATTATACGATAACAGATTAGATTATTTATTATTAAAATTCCTTCGACAGAAAAATGAAGATAATCATTTAAAATTATTTCAACTCAATATAGAATTTTAAAGAGATAGGCCTACTACAATTGCAAATAAGAAGCATAATGGCAAGTTTCTACAATCAATATTATACCTAAAAAGTATATATATTAATATATTTGTTTAATGTTTTTAGGACATTATTTCTGAAAACTCGAATGCTGAACTAGCGGCAATGATGGCACATGACTCGAAAAATACAGCTAAAAGCAATTGTACGCATTGTCACAAGATGGCGCTGTATAATAATTCGTTTCACCGTCATACAGTATGGTCTCTACGGCAAAGATGACTCAATGTGATGGTGAACTAGTCTTATACAACTAGTCTTATACCTTTCTAATATTATTAGAAAGGTAAGAATTAAATAGTTCCTGAAAATCTATAGTGATGACAGAATATATTGAAACAGTACCAAAATATAAGTCAACCAAAAATCATTTAAAATATACCTACGGGATATCCAAATTAGGGAAAAGTTTTTCGGCGTTATTGCCGGGTGTTTATTGTCCGGGCTTATTGTCCGAAGTTTATTGTCCGGCGTAAATGTCGTAAGGATAATTTCATTTTTAGTATTATTCGGGAGTTTATTGTCCGTGGGGTAGTTGTCAGAGTTTGTAGTTCAAAATGTCCGGGCTGTCGTCCAAGTTGTTCAAGTAGTTGTCCGGGTCGTTGTTTAGAGGAAGTTTTCCGGGGTGTTGTTAGGGTTGCCAAGGTCGTGGATTTTCATTAAATGCATAAGTAGATTTTCTCTTGGAATATACCTCAAGTGTGTACGAAATAGAATACATCAACAAAATAATTCACTGACGATTGAGTCGAGAACGCAAATATTTCATTTTATTTATACAATGTATACGCAGCGTTTGGTCGGAATATAATTATCAAAATATTCACATTTATAAAATTCTACAATATATTTTTAAGTACAGCAGAACAATAACAAAAACAAAAACACTTGGTCGGGCATCCTCACTATCTCCAAAGAGTCACAAAAGATATAAACACCAGAAACGAAATGGAGAGTGAATATCTCCGCGAAGTTGCATGAACAAGCAATACAAACAATACTCACATCCTTAGGGATTCAATGACCTTATTCTACCCATGTGATTCGCAAAACATAATGCAGATTAAAATATCTCTTTAATAAAACTTGAAATTCTTACATAACCCAAATTGTTTCAAATTGCCTAGTTTCTTCCCTTTGTGTCACATTATGAATAACCGTATACAAACTGGAGATTAAACTGCTTCTGCAAAGAAACATTAATATGAATAATTAGTTTGAAATAAGATAAAGTATCCATATCCCACAGGGCTCATATTATCCAGTCGTACCCTTGCAATGTCAAGACTCAAGAGGCTTTTTTAAAAGGTGAGTAGCAGTCTTGCGTCAGTAGACGTTACTAAAACGTCGTTACGTGGTCGACGTTTTGCGTCGATTCACGAAGTTGTTCCTTCTCGTGTCACTGTCTGGGAGCGGCGTTACCGTGTCGACCGCGGCGTGAGTACCACTGCAGCTGTTCTTGCTGGACACCAGCGTATGATTGAACCGCACCGAGGACGTGTGTCCGTCATTTGTGATGACTTTTGAGTTCATCGTCGATCGGCGGTAGGTCGTGAGCGGGTGCATGACCGCGGACTTACCGCGGCGCTGGCAGAGACTGAACCGCGTGATGAATATGCCGTAGATGATAGGATCAAGACAGATGTTAGAGTAGCCTAGAGCCATCATAATGTGGATCATCCAGTCAGGGTTTGGGAGGCCAGCTCCCGTTTGCCACCTTATGTCGAAATGGTACCTAGTGGAACAAGTAAAACCATGTGTGGTTGTAGGTTAAATTACACTCTATCAGGTACTTTGTCATACAAGTTAAAATCATCATGCAACTCAAATGATTAAACACAAATCCTGAACATAGTACTGTTTGTGTTTTCCAGTAGCTTTAATTGAGTTCCATTTTATATCTAGATGATAGCTTCTTTACTTATCCATTTCTCTTATATATAGTTTGAGAAACCTGTTCGCGAATATATATGAGAACTCATCAATCTCTTGTTCTAATTTTCACTGACTAACTATACCTATCCATTTTTTTAATTAATTTTTTTATAATTTTTTTTTTTTTTTTTTTTTTTTTGGGGGGGGGGGGGGGCACATACGTCATGCACAAAGCCCCTGCGACGTCACTTACCACGTGCTCAGTACATAATACGGACCCCAGCACATGATGAACGCTGTCACAATGGTCGCCGTGAGACGAAGAGCTTTCATCCGGGCTCTCGGTAGACTGCTCGAACATGACCGCCTGAGGACGCTACTCTCATTGTTGTTGATGGATTGACGAGCTAGGAAAAGTAGAAAGAGATGACAACAAGTTAGATACATCGAAATGGAAAGAAATCAATCAAAGTTAATTTTTTAATAAAGTCGAATAACCAGTAACATAATGCAGTACATTATTCAGTAAATAGTGTCCGGGAAAGCTTAATCATTTTGTATAGTACGCCAGTAGCTATGGGTCAAGGCATCGATATCCTTTCTACAAAAGAAATTTTGAAAGTGGTTGCACTTTGTACGGGTGGCGACTGCAAGATGAAAATGGATTTGACTCAGTGGACTTGATGGATCATTAGTTATACTATTCCTTTCCGTAACTGATCTGTTGGATGGGTTTTTAATATACTTCTAAAGCCACATATCCGTCAACAAAATTAACTGAAGAACAGCAGGAGAAGTTAAGGTGATGACGATGATGATGATGATGATGATGATGATGGTAATAATTATATGATGAAAAGGATGACGGGGATGATTTTCATGGTGGTGGTGGCGGTCGTAATTATGATGGTAATTATATTGATAATGGTTATAATGACGATGTTGCTAGTTAAAGATATACTTAAAGACAAAGTTGAGTTCTGGTCATGCGATTGCGTTTAATATGAAAGAAACGGTGTGGAGTCGATCAGAAAAGGTTGATCATCTTCCATCTAAATATTCGTGTGTATTGCAAGGTTCTGTAATCATCACAGTGATTAGAAATTTGGCCAAGTTTTGGTAAAGTTACAACATAGGCGCCGGAAGTGGGGGGGGGGGCAGTTGCCCCCCCCCCCCACCAAAAAAGTGGGGGGCAAAACGCATTTTTGCTTCCCCCCCCCCCCCCCCCAAAAAAAAAAAAAAAAAAAAAAAAAAAAAAAGCAGTAAAGGAGTAAACATGGTTAGTATTTTAAACCCAAAAGAACATAACAATAACAAAAAACTGAATTAAATCACATATACAATTCCATTCAAAGAAAAGGAAAGTTCACAGGAATTAAATTTCCTAAACATTGCGCATGCCACCTATACGGTATTTATCAATGGAGGTCTTTATAATAACGATAAGCGCATATCGTGGACATATTGTGCGAGAATGGGAAAGGGTGTCTGTTTTTTGTTTGTTATAGGGGTGAGAAGACAACATGAGCCCCTGAACGCTGGCGTACTGATGGGGGGGGGGGGGAGGGGGGCTGTATTTCCTATTCGATACCAGTGATTTACAAATGTTGCTGTTATGACATGATTTTCCGGTATTTTTTCTCCATTTTTTGGTAAGTCATACCTTTTTATGCGTTTGTTGGAAAATAAGATGTTCCCAAATTACAGTCGGGCGAAAAATACGCTTATTTGGAAGCATTTGTGTCATGGTCTGCAAAGTGGCTGGGCTCGAGCCCCCCCCCCCCCCCTCACTTTTTGAAAAAAGTATGTTAAAGAGAAAAAGAAAGAAAGACCTAGAAAAAAAAAGTGACCTGCCAATGTCACTAAAAAAAGCTCATCTGACCGTAATTAAATGCCTAAAACCCCTGAGCTTCCGGGGGCTCTGCCCTCTGGACCCCACCAAGGGCCCTAAGGCGGCCCCTGGATGGTCATCCGACTGTAGTTAAATATGAAAACCTCTGAGCTTCTGGGGGCTCTCCCCCTCCCTGGACCACGTCAATGGCCTTAGAGAGCTAAAAAAGAAAAACAAATGAACCCCTGCCGAGGCTTATGCCCTGGACCCCACGCCAATAACGCTCTACCTGATCGTTAATACTCCACTTTGAAAAACGTTCCGCGGGACCTGCATGTCACATGTTAGACTGGTGGTGATGCAGATTTTTCGTCTCCCCCCCCCCCCTTCCGAACGTTTTTTTCTCATTACGTCACTGCCCCTGGAAGGTGAGCCCCCTGGAATGTTTGTCCCCCCCCCCCCCCCACATCCCAAACTGCTCCCGGCGCGCCTGAGTTACAAGTACTGTACACCGAAGGATGTATATGGGACTACACGAACACGTGGCGTAAAAATCTATCCCGATTTTTACGATGTTACATGCCATATTTAGGATATGAAGGCATTTGAAGAGCCATGCTTTTCAGGGAACATGTTTTATCTGATGTTCTTCCACCCTTGCATAATAACAAGAGAACGCTCACAACTTATATTTCACCTCTTCCCAGAACTCAACCTTCTCTTTAACATAGACAATACCTTGCTTAGTTTTCCTGCATATCTTATAGATGATGGCTGCGTAGCATGTGAATATAGTGATCAGAGGCACGACATACATGGCTAGGGTGACGAAAACGTGATAAAGCCTCCATAGTGTGGGATGCTCGAAAGCGAATCGGTAGTCGACGCACTGCGTGAAGTCCGGTGCTTCGTAAGGTGAGAGGACTTCGTGGACCAGGAACTAGGAAAGGTAAATGAAAGAAAAAAAATGATTACATGGTAGAGGTGCCGTGGTCTAGTGGATATGTCACCGGATTGTGGATCACATGGTTCGCGTTTCGAGTCCCACTGCGGCGCTAATGTCCTTTGGTAGGACATTAATCGTCATTTGCTTCGAAACCAGGATAAAAATGGATAACCGGTAGGATGCGGACGTTGATGTGGTTGAATTGGTTTGTGTGCGCTTGTAAAATGGCACCCGGTCAAAAAAAATACTCCCCAGGGAGCGAAGCGTGTGCAGTATCATGTGCGGATCAGCATTTGAAACCAGTGACAGGGGTTATATGAATTACTAAGTAAAGTGCATATAAACGTATTACTAAAAACTAGACAAATGTGACTATTATTATCATTACATGTATTATCATTAATATCATTATTTTCATTATTACAATCCTTCTTGAATTGCCCATGAGGGGATTTTTTATTTCATTCAGAGAAAGGATGAACACGAAAGATAATCCATTGATACCGGATCAAGCTGAAAATACTTTCATGAAGGGGTCGTTGTTCGTTGGTTCTGCCCTAAATATAGTCCAAGACATGAATAATGCTTGTCAGTGATACACAACCATGGAACAATTAAATACAGGGACAATTAAAGACAAGGTCAGACAATGTAATCATGATTATGATTTTGAAGCGTTTTCGTTTAGATACCAAAAGATAATAGCGCACGGTTAAAATGGACCAGTAGAAATATATCTATATCATAAGAATACAAAGCATCTGCCCGCACCCCCAATTACAAGAGATGTTCAAATGGTTGACTAAAAAACAGAAATTACTAGAAAATGATTTCATATCGAAACACGCCCGGAAGCTCAGTTCCCATATACGTGCGTGTATATATAGCATCGACTACTGCTTAATCACATAATGTAGGTTTACCCTTAAATAAAATGTCAGATTGGTATTAAAATTTCTAATAATTCTTTACCCAAATGATATTAGACTTTTTCGAGATATTGTGCTTAGGATACGCCATTGTGGAACCCAAAACTTACAGAGAAAATATTGTCAGTGATCGTTGACCTTTAAGTTTGCAGTGTAAATAATAAACCAAGTCAGGAGAACTTACATCAATACTGTTTGATAATTATCAATCAGAAAATGTGCTGGCCCGTATGAAATTGCACCCATGGGGGGATGGAAACAGTTAGGACGGATCTATTTCGCATATGCTGAAACTCGATCGATTCCGAATCCCACTCAAAATAGTTCGTGGTCTCTCGTCTCGAATATCTGTGATTCAAAGACGATCGATTTATGTTCCACTGAGGATATAAGTGAAAGTGAAATTCGTATCATCTTATTATTCTGAAAACGCAAAACTAAATCTACCTCCCCATCCACAAATGAAGTGTACGTGGGTAATACGAAATGAATATAAATCAGTTCCATAGAGAAATTCAAGATGATATTTATAATGCTCTTTAATGACCTGATTTCGTGAAAATCGGGTTTCATGGGGCATCTATGTCCGGGGAAGGGGGTACTCAGCTTTGGTTAGGACGTGAGTGTGCCGCTCAAGCCTCGAAACCCCATTTGTCACAATTTTCCAAAAAATGGGGCCCATGTATTGTTTAGGCCGTCACTTTAGGGATTATTTTGTGTGAAAAAGCGACCCATTAGAGTGGCACATCCTCGTTTGTCTTAATTTGTGAGCACACCCCCCCCCCCCCTGGATCTATATAGTCTACGATAAAAACTATTTTTCCAAGAAGCTGTAAATGATGACAACATTTGCCCAGGGAGACCTCATCAGCTTAAATGTTGTTTTTCTGGCTCTGCAGTAATTATCACCCCAGTAATTGTCAGTTACCCATTTACACTTGTGTAGAGAGTGGCATAATTATGCGGATTAAAGTCTTGCCAAAGGACGTTAGTGCCGGGCTGAGATTCGAACCCTCAACCCACGGATTGAGAGTCAAGTGAATTCGGACTCGAATCATCGGCGAATGCCAGGTACCCATTAAAATCTGGGTGAAGAGTAGCAAATCTGGAGTAATGTTTTGCCAAATGACTATGTAACTGGGCTGAGATTCGAACTCTCAACCCTTTGATTGAGAGTCGAGTGAATGGACCACGATACCCCGACACCTCCACTCTGCTGTAGAAGGACAACATGTTTCCGGCCATTTCGTCCGACCGGACAAGTATGTTTTCTAAAAGACGCTTTATAAGGTTTTTAAAAGGGTCCTGATAACATGACGTTGACTTGCATCAACCAATAGGGACTATTAGATTTGCACAACGGCACCGTGGATTGCTACGATCGACGTCCTTTTAATGCACTGCCTTGAATGGACGTCACACGTATCAGTCCACGCAAATCTAAAAGTCCCTAATGGTATAACACATAAACCCATGCCCTACATTCGTGAACAAAACAAGGTAATACAAGTATCGAAACATCTTACGGGGAAACATTCAGAGAAATCACTCAAATTAAATCACGTTCTTCATGTATCTATTTCTAAGCCCAATGCTCTCTGAGTCATATTAATGTCTCCTCTAAGTATTACTTGAAGGACAATCCAACCTTCGTAATAAGGTCATTTGTATGAGAGCAGAAGAACTGAGATAAACAGAATGGCGACAGTTTGAAATAAATCGGACGAATACTAAGAAACTTATGAATATTTAAAATATTTGTTTCTCAATTTTTTGTCCGATTTTCTTTCAACTTTCACCAGTCTACTTTTTTTTCCTGCTTTCCTCTAGAGAAGTTTGCTGTCATGATTGGATTTCCCTTCAACCCGGCACTGTCGATATAATAATCCCAAATAATTATACTGCAGTCACACCGAGTAGACTGGGAACAGAACAGACAACAAAACGATCAAAAATCGTCAAATCTCGCTAAAGATCGGGTGACATCCAAATATAAGTTTATTCCAGTTGATGTGCAGGGCTGCATTCAACTCATATTTTGTTATTAAAACATCTAAATATATTTCATAAATTTTCAAACATATTCTAAAATAATTTTTCTGAGACCTGCTAAGCTCCACCCTAAGAAAATGCTCTATATTGCATTCAGCTTGTGACATCATCTATCAATCATTAGTGAGCTAACAAGAGACAGTGATATGTTACTTTACCAGAGGTGACCACCTGTTTACAATAGACCATACAATACCAACATAGGAGTTGCTATGTCAGACCAGGGAGGTGTCAGACGTGCTGTAGCATCACTAGGAAAAGCAAGGTAATGTGGATGTATTGTACCATGGACCTATTACGGATGGACATTCGACGTGATTCTTTCTTTGATCCAATGAGAGTCACCGCCTTCTGATTATGTGCAGAACATTCAGCTGTTTTAACAATAATTAACAATAACGACTGCGTATTGTGACATCCTTTTAAGGCAATTTGACATCCTTGTATGGCACTGACAGTGCCGGCAGTGCCTTACAAGGATGCCACACGTAGCAGTCCACTATGCCGGCGTGCAAATCTAAAAGTCCCTATTGTTTTTCGATTGTGTTGGTTCCCCCATGCCCTCTTCTTAATGTGGACATTCATGTATTCAAGGGGGAACAACATTTTAGAATAAATTATGCAGACGTACATATTTGTAATTACATCCCTTCAATCTCGATGCGTACTTCTCTCTTAGAATTAAGAACATCTTTATAATCATTGCCTGATGTGTGTTTTTACAGAAGTGGGGGGGGGGGGGGAGAGAGAGAGAGAGAGAGAGAGAGAGGGGGATGTGAGAGAGGTAGAGGGAGAGAATAAGATCGTCAGAAGACTGCTGTTAATCCTGAGGTTCATAAATACATTTATACCGGACAATTGCTTTATAGTGACAGGCCTGGAGGCAACACGTGTTGTATATCTTCATTTCTCAAGAGAGTATAGTATCTAGGTTGAAGAGAAAGAAAAAAAAACCTATAAGATGAAGATCTCGGTAGAAATATTTAACTGGGGCACTTAAAACCAAAATGTGTTTACATGTCTGACATGTTCCCGGTACATGTCTTCGTTTAATTGCCCACCTTGATCTATTTTTGCGTTTTTAATAAACTATACAACATCTTTAGCAGCTCTTGTGGAAATGAATACAATGCGAAAGTAAATGAGAGAATATTGGATGCGTAGCCTAAATCAACGTCCACAGTGTTTTTCTCCCGTTTTGGAAATGTTTGCCAAGGTTGAAAGAAAATGTCCCCACCGGGAATATATATTTGTTTTTCTTTGTTTTTGTTTTATTTTGTTTTTGTTTTATTTTGTTTTGTGTAAATAGGAGCCTTGAAGCCCAAAGTAGGTTCCTCATCATCCGGTCGACAAGTCCGCTATTATTACTCTGATCATGCGGATACGCTTGTCTCCCACTAGGCTGAGCTGTCAACACTTGAATCGTGATTTGTATATGGTAACAGTTCTTATTTCTCACTTAGGGCTTGTCTAAGTTCGAATATATCTGATCATATTCATATAATTGATAGCTTCAGGCGTTTGAGATGGATTAATAAATTATTTTTAGGGGATATGGAATAGGAAAGGAATGCAATTGAGTGACTAATGACTGCTCGGTGTTAGGTGGTCAAGCTTAGGTACTACATGTTGAATGCTTAATGACTGTAAACGCTACCGGCAAAATAAAATTTATAGTCTTCTATTCCTGTTTGTTTGTATCAGTTCTCGTTAATATTTCATTTGGTTTTTTCCATGAAAAATAGCTGGCAGGAGATTCGGAATCGGTTGTGGGCTGACTTTTCTGAATCTTAGAAAATGAAGGGGAAATTCGAGATTTCCCTTCTACCAAAAGAGTTTGTATAATAAACCCAAAAGAGAAAAATCAATATAGATGCAGAGATTTTGAAAATCAGGATTTAAACAATCAACCAATGCATTTGCATTGCTTAAGTTTCTATAACTTTACTGTATCTACAAATACTAGAACCTCATTTTTGTGACAATGCAGTTAAATGAATAATACAATTATTGAAATTGTATGTTCAAACTAATGTACAGAGTATGTTTTTTTTTTTTTTTTTTTTAATCGAAACTATTTTATGCTCTTAGAAGACTAGTCTCTTGTTTATTTCATCCTTCATTGGCTAGCGGTACGACAGCCCTATTGTGTGAAGTTATACATATCGAACAAAACAAAATTAAGGAAAAATTGTGTACTTGTTTTTTAGAGTAGTTGTCGCTTTTAATACGTGGTAGTGTAGAGAACTCGTCCTAAAGTAATACAAATTTAGTTGATGATCTTGTGAGTGTCTTAAGGGATCCGGTAACTTTGTCTCAGATTCTGAAACAAAATCCTGGATTTAGCTCATGCTGCAATCATAATTATAAACCTTTAGGTCAGCCTCAGGAACCCCATGACTTTTACAAGCCAATCGCCTCTCTGATTATCAAGAAATTTATGATTGGAATTACACATTTTGAAAACCGTTAGCCAAACGGTTTTCATAACACTATAGTCGATTTGGGAAAATGAGTATAGTAAAACCGGTCACTCAAAGATGTTTACTCTTTTGAGGCACTTCTTGACCATTTTAAAGCGCAATTTGTTTTGGGGGCTTTAATATTACACCATTATGACAGACACTGAGAACACGTAGAGCCATGCACCCCAGATTTAACATTGTTAAACGATGCCTTTAAGAGTAACGTACCTGTGGTACACTGCAGAGGGCACTACATGTCCAGGCGGCTCGAACCATGATCTTACATCGTCTGTCTGCTTGGTGAATACTGAGAGGATGCACAATGGCAGCGTAGCGATCGAGACTGATGACGATGAGGATAAACGACGACCCATACATATTAAACGATTCGATGAACATGATGATTTTACACATCGCATTCCCGGCCAGCCAGCGCACCGTGTAGAACCATACCACATCGGTTGGAATGTTGATAAGGGCGACGAAGAGGTCGGCGAGTGTCAGGTGCATGACAAGGATGTTGACCCGCGACTTGTGACGACGTCGTCGAAACACGATGATGAGGACGATGATGTTGAGAGGTACGGAGATGAGGAAAATTGCGGAGAGGGTCAGGATGCGAAAGAGAGATTCGGCGAAGATCTCTGCCGACCCTGAATCCATGTATGTGTAGTTCGTAGTGACGTTGGCGTAGTCGCTGCCGACGTCGGGAATGTAGAACGACGACATGATGGTGGCACTTTTAGGTGATTTCAGAGTTCTGGCGAGGTCGAGCATGCTCTTCAAGACCAATGGCACGGGGAGTCTCTAAGCTTTAATCACGGTTCTTCTCAGGTTTATCCACAATGCTCACAAGCGACCAACGTGGTTGAAGTGTCGAGTATTGCAGCTCAACCTTGAAAAGAAACAGTCCTCCATTTCCTCAAGAAAGTGAAGTCCACTCAGAAGAGAACTCATACGTCATCTATAAATATATAAAATAAAAGAAGAAACCAGATATTTTCATTTCAGAATGACAACGGGTTTGATTAAAACATTTCGTAACAATTTGAAATCAGATATCATAACAAAGAACATAAATTGTGGTGAAGTTGATTTCTTCGATTTCTTATCAAAAAACCGCACAATTACAGATTTGTGTGTGTTATTATTTGTGCTGTATTTAAAAAAATAAAAGACATTAGAATACAGGGACAACAAAATGAATTGACAATTTCATGTCGACAGGCGCCTTATGTTGACGCCACTCAAAACTGTGTCGTTTATATAGCCATGTTTTTATCCGAAGATTATCTCCTGTGGCTATAAGCACGGGTCCGGCTGAGATCTCAAAGCTAGACCATGGATAGACGATGATTGAAGACGTCACACGTAACAGACGTAAATGATGATGATGATTCTAGATGATCATTGCTGTTTTTTCTGAAGTGATTAGCGTATGTTTCCATGGAGACAATGATAGCCAGTGATATATGAATTTTATGTAAAACTAATCCCTCATGTGCAGTGGGCATTATTACAAAAGAACATCGTCTACCTAGAGCCAGAAGGGTGTTAAATATTAAAGTAAAAGTATATGAATTAGCGCACTGCTGGCTCCAAACAGGCGAGATGTAATTTAACGGTTACAACTTCATTTCGGCAACACCCATACTAAGAATAATTAAATTCAAACCTTTAAAATAACCTCTACTTCTCATCCCGCACTAAGCGCAAGCCGGCGTTATTTCAGAAAGGTTTTATTCTCCATGAATCAAGGTTTTCAAAAATTGAAAGATGTTGGTAAGGAGTTGCTTTGATACCCCACCCCCCCCCCCCCTCCTCCCCTCCGTCATGCATAATTCAATAATCATGTTTTTGGAGTTATAAAAGAAGAAACATAACTTGAAAATTGATTTGGAATTCACCGATAAACTTCGATTTTATCTTTTTTTTCATGGACACGTACCTCTTCATTACCATTTGTAAAAAACGATATAATCCCATTTGAAATGCTGGAATCAGTGAATAAGATAAAAAGCTTTGTGCACAATGTATTTACATGTATTCATGAAATGGATGAATAACAGTCCCTCTTCTACGTTCATGCGGTTTGGGCTTTCGTTCGACTAGGATTTGGAAGACACGAAAACAGGATTTATTTTATTCCCTATCGAGTAACTTAGTAGGGACGCCTTTAGCTCTACAACATTGTGTCCATACGGGTTAATTTCTCAATACTGACCACGCAGATCATCACACCGTATTTTAAGTCTTTCAAAACTTCATAATATGATAATTGAGTTGTTATGAGAGGAAAAGTTTCTCGCTCTTATCAAAAGCAGGTTAAAAATATATGGCATTATCGAGGTAGTTGTTTCAATACAGGCGAAGGGGAGAAATTCCACTTCAATGGGCCTCTAATTTTCTAAAGAATGAATGCTAATGAATAAGTCCAAAACTATTTAGTAACGCAATGTTACGGACCCCTTTTAAAATTACTTTTCTATGTAGTCACAGTAAGATGCTATCTATACGGTTATACGCTACGACGGTAGGAATGAAATTTGTATTATTTATATCGAATGCGAACATTGATTTCTCCTCATATTGTCACGCAAACTTTTTTTCTTCTTCTTTTATGAATGCCAAAATATTAAGGAAAATTATACAACTACAAAACCGCCAAATAAATGTTTGTGTTTCAGGCAAGTAATACTTGTTTTTCTTAATACGATTGCATCACGTCATCAATCGTGTCCCTCTTACTTATACACCATTGTGTTCTTCAAACGTCGTTCCTTGAGGGCTCTGATCAACCACAATGTTTCATTCTAAGCATCAAACATTTAGACAAGAAGATTGGTTACAAAGAAATGTTATTTTGAACGAAACTGAATTCTAAACGCCTAACATTTGTATTTTGTTGTACGAGAGCGCTTTTCCATCTCCGCCGTTGTTTTGACTATAGGAGGTGTTTGCGCACCCTACAGAGATTGACCCCTCGGATAGATGATGCGGATAAGATGTCGGTGTGACGAGGATTCGAAAACGAGATGGAGAGCTCTAGAAAATGCCATTGTCCAGTCTATTCTCAGAGGAAAAGATCTGTTTTGATCTAAAGCCTTCCAAGACCGTCAAAGCTTCAAGAATTTCCTCGAATTTCACAATCACTTCTGGTGGTGCTCGGACCGGATCGAGTCGAGAAAATTCGAAAATATCTAACGATTGCTACTCAGAATGCTAGAAGTGTTATTTGGGTTTGTGGTGTAGAATGTATTTACATGTTCATCAAACGTTCTGAGATGTAACGATAGCTAGAATTAGGCCGCGAGTCATGTATTTGTGTCAGCGACTGAAAACAATCAATGGTGCGAAACACTTTCATCTAGAATCGCCACCCTGCGTAATTCTTTAATAGACTGTTTTATCTTTTCATCAGGTTTATCCATTCAAACTCACGATAAAGCATCTTTTTGGTTAAAATCCATTTATGTCATAGAGGCATGATTTTCCATAAAACATCGATCGGATTGGGTTTTTTTTTTTAGCAAATGAGTGTTTTAGTTGCTGACATAAACATATTTTTTGGATAAATGGTCCGCATCTTAAGGTTGTATAACGGTAAACTACACTACAACTATCTGATTAAAGTTTATAAATGACTAATTGTTTTTCTCCGTATGTCAGTAGTTCCATGTCGTATGAACTATATTCCAAAAAAAGAGATTTTGCAAATTTAGATACACTATCATTTAACATAAAAATGATTTGTGAGTAGACGACTCGGCGCACACGTATTTTGCGAGTACAGCATACACGTACGTCACACGTATACTCGTAAACACGCCTTGGTACTATACTATCCCCTTGCTCTTCAACGACAACGCTTTACCCTTTATTTTAATTTTTTTAATTGTTGCTGCATTCTTTTCATATCTTCTACTGATACACAAATTAGTGTGTGTGTGTTTTCTCAGTGACGGATCTGGAACGGGGGGGGGGTTGTAAAAAAACTTCATGTCATTGCGGGAAAAATGTTGTTGTTCCACTATAATGTATTCAGTCTATGCTATAATAAGACATCATTCCTTTATACCGATGCTCCAACCTCCAACCATGTACTTGACTTTATTCTGGTTTAGGAGTGTTCGATTTCTTCGAGGTTCACCTAAGTCACTCACTTTACTTAACAGGCTCAAGTTACGCGAAGAATGCTAATAGGGTTTGTAAAAATAACTCCTTTCCTAAACGGGAATAAAGCCTATTTTTCTAAGACAAGAATAAACTATAGGTGACTTAGCAAACCGCTTATTTACTTATAGCCAAAAGGCTGTGGATAAAATGATAATGAATAATAACAATAATAATAGCTACATCGTATATAATTACAATAATTGGCTTTTATATAGCGCTTATTACATCAATGGTGTGTCTAAGCGCTTTACAGATCTATTATTACACCGCTCATCGGATTCGGGCTTTCCCTGGGGAGCATTCAAGCCAGGCGTCATTTTTACAAGCGCAAATCTTGCTCATCTAACCCCATGAACTTTCGCATCCTACCGGGTACCCATTTAATGACCTGGATGGAGAGTGGCAAATGACCCTGGCTTCAGCCATGGGCCTCAGCCCATTGACCTTAGGGGCTATAACCTCTACAATGTACATAGAATGTTACCGTTGGAACTCAAAGTATCGATGTTAGGAATCGGAATATTGGGATTCAAATATTCGATTGTGTATCCCTTCTTCTTATCGTTTTATGCTATCCTTTGCTTTTGTAACACTTGCCATAACTTGAAATACAAGAATTTTGAATAGAGGAGGTCTTGAAGTTGCCTATCACCCAAACGATGTGGAGGAGCTCAACATTTCTCTTCTCAGTAGTAGAATAAGTAGTAGTAGAAGTATAAGTAGTAGTAGTAGTAGTAGTAGTAGTAAACCTAGCAGTAGTAGTAGTGGTAGTAGTAGTAGTAGTAGTAGTAGTAGTAGTAGTAGTAGTAGTAGACCTAGTAGTTGTAGTAGTAGTAGTATCGTTATCATTATCCCGTGATTAATTTTCTCATTTGAAGAATCAGACAAAGCATGACAAAATACAAAATGGATAATTGCGCTCCCCGAATGTGAGATGATAGTTAATAATAGCATGTTCTGCAGCCCCCTAGCCAAACAAAAATTTGCATCGAATTCCGGACATGTCTTCGTTGGAAAGTGGCTATAACGCCTATAGGCTACGGACACAAAAGCAGGTGCATGGATAATCCAAAGTTCAGGACTCAAACGTCAATAATCGCTGATGTATGTATAATCAGTTGATACCTACATGTATTCATAGTCCATTTGTCATCATTTTCCAATTTAGCTGACATCAATTCATACTTATACCCCTTTGTCCAATCATTAAGTGCATTAAAGCTATGGTCACAAATCAGAGCAGCGACCGACCGATCAGTAGCCTGCTCGGTCGCTGCTGGAATTAAGCATCGCCCAGCAATTAGGTCAGTGCCCAGGCACCGAGCGTATTTTGGGCGGAGAGTGAAAAATGAGCAGGGGCCGCCCAAATTTTAACTCCGCGCTAAAACTTCAGCGGCGACCGAGCGATGCCCTAAAAACGAGCGGCGCCTGGGCGGCCGCCGCTCGGTGGCCGGGCAGCCGCCGGGCAGAATTGGTTAAAAACTCGCCGCTCGGCCGCCGAGCAGGCTACTTTGGGGTAATGTGACCATAGCATTAGTGTACACGAGGAATAAGTAAAGAGATATCACAACTTTGACTATTTTCGTGACCAAGGTGTTAGGTGATAAATCATTTAAATAGCCTCAAAAT